GTTATAGCCCTACATTATGTATTGTATTCATGATTATATACTGTTATTGTGCCAATTGTTTTGTTTTATAATAAATGTATTTAATAAATTTCTTTAGTAATCTATACTAATAATACAAAGAGGCAATGTTTGTATGTAAGTTTGTATGCAGCAGGTAATCTCCAAAACTACTCATCCGATTTCAAAAATTCTTTCACCAATATTTAGAATGGAACCTCAGGGTGGACATAGGCTGAATATTATTCCGTTAAACATTCATATGAATTAAATTATATCATCTAGGGTTAGGCTTTTATGTCCAACAGATGGCGCTACGAGTACGACGCCCTAAGTTTGCTTTTATGTGAGGCATTATGCTTTTCTGTGAAAATGAACTAAAGCGGACCATCTTCTATCTATTTATATAAATAAAAATGTAATGTTCGTTTGTTCCTACCGATTCCTTTGAAATTTTGACACAACGCTGCATTCGAATACGCACGTGTTTTTATATAATATACATGTCGAAATCCCCCCCGGGAGATGGACGGGATTAAGGCTTACCGTGAAGATCTTTGCTTCTATTATACTATATTAGATGCGGGTTTTTGCGTTTTTGATTGCGTTTTAATAGGGTACGTCAACAGAATGTACACTAAGAAGAAATTTTTCGAAAAATCCCCCCACGGGGGAAGTGTTATAAATTTATAATAGATACATTTTGAGCCACAACAACGCGTGGCGGGATCTGCTAGTAATGTAATATTTTCAGTATTAAATAGTCAAAATTTCAAATTAACTCACATTTGTTATACAGTAATACAGTAAATAATTTCTTTGTCATCTATTAAAATAACTTTATAATTATGAATTTCCAGAAAATTTTTATTTTTAATCAATTTATCATGAATTCAATACAGTCGACCCCCTATAACACTGTTGATTATTCTGTTTTATATGAATTCCATGTTGTACGAGTCAATTAGATTTTACAAATACATGTGCCGGGCTGTGAACGGCTCACGTATTTGCAAAATCTAAGTGACTCGTATAACATGGAATTCATATAAAATGGAATAATCAACAGTGTTATAGGGGTGTCGACTGTACATGAAATTAGGATAAAATCGTATTTAAAATCCTTTATTTATGAAAAATACAATTTTATATCAAAACATTTTACAAGTTCGGTGGTTAAAGCGGATGGGAAGATATAAGGAATCATATGTCATATCTCGATTTGGGTCGGACTTAATGAAGATTTTATTCGTTATTAGCAATTTAATAAATAAATAAATAAATAAATAAAACTCATCTCTACCCTCAAAACGAATATTCTAGCATTTTATAATAATTAATAATATATAAGTTGCTTTTAAAATAAGATTTCATAACAGATGGAGTCTCACACCATTTTTTCGCCTGGAAGGTTAAGCAACTTGTTGCTGGATTTTTTTTTTAATTTTGAATTCAAATTTACTTATATCTTTTATTTTATTTTTATTTATACATTTTAACAATAAGACTTTTATCCAAAGAAAACACATTTTAGAAATATGAATTTTTATTTTCTACGTTCGAACCTATATAATTCTATAACTAGAAAACAAATAAAAATCTCTTGGTATTCAAATATATATATTTGGTAATAACTAAGTATAACAGCCATTTTACACCAAGTCATTCAAGTCAAGTGCATTCAATGGACTGAGTTGTCATTGAAGATAAAGGGAATGTGACAATTTGGTTTGACACAAAACGTGTCACGTCCAGTCGAGCACGTCACGTCAAATCAAAACTGGTCGTGACTTGGCCGCGTTTTTAGATCAGTTTTGATCAGTCAACACTAGAAAAAGACGTATTCTGTGTTTTTTTAAAACAGGACTGTGAAAGATTTAATTGTACTAGTACGGAATAATGAAACAATCTACAATCTCAAGCATTCCAAACACCGAGATCGATATTTTATTACTGGTATTTTGAGAAATATAGACAGAGAATTTCATAGTTCATAAGCAATATTATATTTATTTAACTAATACACTAATGATACTGAAATTATCAATTTAAATATTTACAGATGCTAATTAGTATCATTACATCACTTGTCATGTAATGAAGAGAAAAGTTGTAAATAATTCTCCTGTTACTAAGTACCTGAAAAGGAAGAGGCAGATCTTTGTTTTTCGTCACCATATACGTTGCTATTTTAATCTTAATAAGATTACATTGGCAAAATAAAAATATCGAAGAAAATCTTTTCTGGTTCCGATGCAAATAATTCCTAAAAAAAGGACATTTAATTTACTGTGTTTTTAGATGGCACATTGCAACATAAAGCAACGTCGAAACGTCAGAAAACGTGCGAAACATTTCAAATATTGACGAAGATTCTGAAGAGTATATGAATTTTCAACAGGACTTTCAGTAAGAGTCTTCAACAGAAATCTCAAAATGAGTCTCAGAAGTCACAGCTGAAGACTCAAAACATCAAAATTAATCAATAAGCATTACCTGAAACATCTGAAAGTAATTTCTGATAATGCAAAAGATGACAAAGTTCCTAATTTATTCCTACGAATTTTGATACCTTCCACAAAGAAACTTTGAACATTTGAAAGTTTAAAATTTAGAGCTGAGGTCATCGATTTACATTTATCTATTGTACTTTTAAATCAATAGTCTACGATTACAATAGTTTACAGCTCTTTTGCGACTTAGGAAAAAAGTATTTTATTTATTTATTTTTGTTAATTCCTATGCGTTGAACACGAAAATAAAGTTAAAAATTCTCTACCACGTAAGGTTTTCGAGTTATAATCTTACGGAATTTAAAAATACTTGATGCAGAAACTTAATGTTAAAATACAGATATGCGGAGACTTAAAAGTTATAGTGCTGTTACTGGGATTTTAGAGTGATTTTTAACAAATACTGTCCGCTGCACATAAAACTTGAATTAATAAAAACCTTCGTCAAAGCACTGGATAAAGAAAGAACTGCTTTCAAATACCTTCAACAGATTTTTTTTTTCAAAAATATGTGACAATAAGCTGGATGTTAGTGTATATGAGGGGCAAGATTTATTTTACTCAATTTGAAGATTAATAACTCCTGTGCCTTCTCTCAAACATTTGTGAAATTTTGCAAAAAGGTTTGTATATCAGGGGGATGGTTGCCACTAAATTTTGGTGTTTAAAGTTCGAGTGGGCGTGGAGATAGAAAGGATCATGGACTTAATGAAGATTTTATTCGTGGTTAGCATTTCCAAATTTTTATAAAACTCATCTCTAACCNGATATTTTATATCTATATATTGTTAAATCTGAGCCATGCCTTCAGTTTGGGAATAGGTGTAGATTTTAAAATTAACAAAAGCTTCATGCATTTACCATTGATGTATGTTCAAGCAGCCATGTGTTTTGTAATGTGTGGCTGTTCAAATATATATCAGTGATAATCAATACCAGATTCATTATTGGAGTTCATAAGAAGGAAGATTATCTCTTTTTTAATGTGTCACCATTTTAAATATGGAACCTTTACTAAACTTAAATTAATGTTTTAATAATGTCAAGTACCGCATTCACAAAATTAATGCAATGTAAATGCAATTGCAATTAGCCAAAATTATTGAAAAAATTAGTAATGTAAATATTTCATGAATTTTGACTTAAGCTGTCATCTTTAATTTTTTTACTATTTAAAATGTATCAATTTAAATGATGTAATAATTCTTGAAAATAAGTGAAGTGATATATGTTTTTTTCTAATTTATTTTGAAATGTTTTAAACTGAGATTAAGTAGTAGTATTATAATGTAGGAATACACAATCATTTTCAGTTTAATTTTCTTATAGTCCAAATAAATAACATGTTACATTTAATTAGATCAGTGAAAGAAAACATTGAGGTTTATAATTGTTTATTAAGATAGCAGGATAAGATATTGAGTTTTAATTATATGCTTTATGGAGAATCTTAAATTTCTTTCAAGCAGAGATATAACTCATTTTTTTCTATGGTAAAAATTTAACTGATTTTTCTCCTGCAAGATTGCTTTCTGCATGTTCTGGAGAATATACTTTCTAAATTGTGTCATAATTCTTATTCTTAATACATTTATTAGATTCTGTTTAATAAATTATAGAAATTTTAATTATAATCATTCAGTATGGACTAATTATGATTGTCCAGCAAGAAGTCAAAATGAAAGTAAAAGTTTATAACTGTCTCACTTTTACAATTGATATAAATTTCTATTATGATTTGTGAAAGTCTATGTTTAAGAACCGTTTTTCCCCACCTTGTGGTTTTATATAGTTCAAATTGGGCTTAAGAACCAATTTAAAATTGTTGATGGTTTTCCTGGAACCAGTTAGGTTGTAAAAGCAGACAGCTACTTATTTTTAAATGTAATTTGATATTTCAATTGCCTGATTTTTAAATGGAAATACTGTATAATCTAAAAGTTCTTTCCTGTTCTTAAAATTTAAAGATTTAATGAATGTAGGACTTCACACTGAAGATCATTAAATATCATTTCTGGTTTTTGAATTTTACAATTAGTTAAATATGAAATTCCAATATTTTTTAGATTGTTATTTACATCTTTTCATTCTTCTGAAATTCAAACATATTTTCTCTCATAAGATAAACTTCTTTATCACTCCAACAAATAAGACCTGCTTGATCACATTCCTGTTATCTATAATCACTGTATGAAATCAAGTCCATAATTTCCAAATCAGGTGATGTTGAAATGGTGAAAAAAATTGAAATTTATTGAACAAGGAAATATAATTATTATATTTACTGTTAAAATATATTATTTTACCATGCAATTATATAACTCCTCCTATATGGTATCTTATGTTTGATTTAATTTCAATGCACTCAAATTTGTTGGTACAGCATATTTATCATGCATAGTACTATTGAAATTTTTTAGATCAACAAATAAGTGCCATATTATTATTATTATTTTTAACTTTACTAAAATATTATAACACTTAATATTAAGATGTAGAAATTTTATTATTATTGCAGTTAATAAATTGGAATTTGCATTCACTTTGACATTTAGTCTATCAATTATTTTCTAACATTTAGCTATTCTAAAAATAATTAAATATTTTGATTATATATTTCAACAGAAGAAGAATTGAATTCTGAGCAAACAGTTTCTACCTCCGCATCAGCCATGAAATGGGCAGGTTGGGCAGTTAGTTCTCTGACATCTAAATTTTATCGATCCTATACACCCTCTCAGCCTGGTTCCAGTGAACAAAATGAACAGAATGAAAAATTAGGTATTCATTATAAATATAATAAATTAAAGTTTTGAATTTTTATGTTTTATTTATCTAATAAATAATTTCAGATAATAAAATTGTTTCTGACACTTCCAATGATCAAACAAAACTTAATATGGATAGGAGTGATACACCCTCTGATTATGAGGATGCATGGAATGAGACCGAATGGGGAAATATAGAAGTACATATACATATTAATATAAGCTTATAAATTGTTTTAACTTAATTTTAATTACTAAGAAATTTAAATATATTTTTAGAGTGAATCAAACATTGATAAACCACTATCATCTGAGAATGATCAGTTAGAAGGATGGGAATGTGATGACTGGGATAGTTTTGAAATTAAATCTGAAGATAATAACTTCAAAGTATGTTTATAAGTCTCAATAAATTTTAAATTATAACTATCTTTGATAAATGAATATAAATTTTTCTGCAGTCAGAAATGTCAGTTGAGAAAGAAGTATCTGGAAAAGGTAAAGAACTGAAAGATTACTTCAGTAAAGATGACGATTCATGGGAAAGTTGGTCTCAAGAACCAGTAAAGACAAGTAATTATATACATATGCTTTATAAATAATTCTGATTTTAATTCATTATTTTAATTTTAAAAATTGATTTTGAGTAAATAAATTTTGATTTTTTTTTTAATTAACAGAAAATAAGACTGAAAGTCATACGAAGTAATTTGCCATTTCTGATAGCTTGATTTTATGATTTTCATTGCAAATGTAGAATCAGAATTATAAAGTTTTATTTTTCAGCAAATAATAATAAAAATGAAGAAATGAAAAGAAGAAAGGAAGAACGTAGACAACAAAGAGAGAAAGCAATGCAAGAAAGACAGAAGAGAAAACAGTCCTCCAGTGGTCCAATGAAACTTGGAGCTCAGAAAGTTTCCTGAAAATAAACATATCCCATGTAATAATAATGGTGCCATCATAATTAAGTTTCCAATGGGCTACTTCCAAATGCACAGTGGTCAAATCATTGTCTGGAAAATCCAGTTCAGTTGTGTATCTGTGTATATTTTATTTAAAGTTTCTCTTTGATAATTTATATTATTAATGACTACAAGAATTTAATGTATATTAAAGAAGGTTTTTATTTTTTAATCGAGTAAAGTTTAATGTTGTCTTAAAAACTTAATTTAATGAAAACTGTAGCTTTTCTATTGGATTTAAAATTATGTTCATCAACTTAAGAAGACCTCAGAAACACAGCAACTAATTAGAAATAAATACATACAGAATCTTCTGTATAAAAGTTTCTCATTGAATTGCAAGATACTTTTAATGTTTTGATAGATTCTCTCTTTTTTTTTAGGTAAACCCTAATTTGTAAAATGAAAGATGAAATATTTTTAAATTAGAAAATAATTCGTATCAGTATTATTTATAAGTCATGGACAAGACAGAGGTATTTGGTTTTGTCACATCAAAAGTTTTAAGATTATTTTAATAGAGGTTTAATTGTNGAAGAGTATGGTTATACAGAAATTTAAGTGTTCGTGCATCAGCAACGAATTTGATTTATTATACCAGTCGACCCCCCTATAACACGAGTTCCTATAGTTCGGATTTCTATATCACGGCGAAAAAATTGCGACAGTAATCGTACAAACATGCTAAAAAAAACTATTATATTTATATAAATACAGAAAATCTTAATTATCTCGCATTTAGTTCAATATTTGAATTACAGTCGACCCCCCCATAACACGAGTTCCTATAGTTCGGATTTCTATATCACGGCGAAAAAATTGCGACAGTAATCGTACAAACATGCTAAAAAAAACTTTTATAATTCGGTAAAACGTCATCACCGTCTCGTGTTGCGACAGGATTGCACAAACCATTGAGTTTAAATGAGTAGCGGACCTACCAAAACCCATTTATTATTTAACGTCCATAAAAATTATATTTATATTAATGTCTCTAAAGTTCAGCAAATTTTTTGCAAAAAAAAAATAATTTATTGGGAAGCACGCAAGCACCAGTCGATGACAATCTCCACGATGAAAACAAGCTTAAGCGATGGCATAGTTGAACGGTGCACACTCAGTAAGTAATCCTACAATTTTTTGTTTATAGCATAGTTTATATGGATTATTCCCAAAAAATTATACGTGTTTTGGAAATGTTGAGTCGAATTAGTCTAGAATCGATTAATTTTATGGAAGAAACCTTTCAAACAGCCGTAGTCCGTAAACTGCATACGTGCTTGACTGTGATCGGCTGGACTCCTAGAAGCTGGATTCATAAAAAGAGGAACGTATCTACCGTGTTATAGGGGGGTCGACTGTATATGAATAAACAAGCTTAATCAGAATGCATGAAGTCTTCAAATTTTATTTAATTAACATGCATTCTGAAACAAAATTTTTAAATCCTATAGTAATGCTTGAGTATGTAATAGAACAAATTATTTATAGTTTAAATTAGTAGAATGTATGGTAGAGGATTTAATGTGCTGTAGTAGATAATGAAAAATTAGACTACTAATAAGTTTATATTATCATATTAATAAAGCAGAGTTTGTGCAAATGAGTTTTATAATTTAAAAATAGATTACAAATAAAAAATGATAGATAATTTCAAAATACTAATTTTTCAGTTTAATTTTTAAACTTTTTTCTTTTATAAATTACATATTTTATATACATGTTCTAAATAATAACAAAAGAGGAGATGCTAAATAAGGTCTCCATTTTTATAAAATTAGTTGGGAAGAGAAAGAATAATGTGATCAGTTTTAAAAAGTAGTAAAAATTATTTTAATCACACATGTTAATTTTTCAACATAATATAGAGGTTGCGGCCGACGTTTTGAACACGAAAAAGTGTACGTCGGACGTTCAGCGCTGTTTTCCTATAAGCCTAGAAGTTTGGCAATGGTGTTTGGGACATCGAGCATGATTCCACTGACTATCCAAACACCATTGTCAAACTTCTAGGCTTATAGTAAAGCGGCGCTGAACGTCCGACGTACACGTTTTCGCGTTGAAAACGTTGGCTGCAACCTATCTAATAACCATTTAGAGTAACACATTTTTCCAAACATTCAACCCAGTTTTCATTCTGTGCATGAAGAAAAACTTTCTGGTTTTTTCTTGATTTATTCCCATATAGCAGCTTGAACTTTGGTATCTGTAGAAAAGCATTGACCTTTCAACACTTCCTTCAATTTTGGGAACAACCAGAAGTCTGATGGTCAAACCAGGTCAAAGGAGTATGGAATAATCTGTAATGTGAAGTTCTTTAGTGTCTTCTGTTTTCTTATTGCAGTGTGGTCTTATGTTGTTATGGTGCAAGAAAAAGATGGTTCTTTCTGACTTTGTATTGAAAATCTCTCTTCAGTGCTCTTAATTGACTGATTACAATATTTTATTAAATTGATTGTGTTTTCCTTTGCCGGTTTATTTCTTCTTTGTATGAATAAGAAAGATGAGTTAATATTTGATTGTTGTGCAATGATGCATCATAATGAATTGATATTGCATACACAGAATTAGATACTTGTGGCTGTGTGTGTTTCTATTTCCATACTTCATAGAATGCTGTTGTATTTTATCAATAAACCTTATTGATTAGTGCTTATTTTATCAATAAACCTTTATATATGTATAATTATTTGTATTTGTCTATATAATTAATTATGTTGCAGCTGTGAAAGATCATTTTCTGTAGAAGCGTTCGGTTCATTTAATTGGAAATAAATGTAACTACAAACAACAAAATTTTAGAATCAAATAAACTTCAACATCTATGTAATAAATAGTAACTGTTGCCTGGAAACACCAATTTTTAATAGAAATTTCTTTATTAACATTACTCTTTTCAAAGGCAATTGATGGATATAATGAAATGATGTCTGTTTCTAGTATTCAAAAGATGCATGATTCATTATCTGGCTGCATGCTGAATCTTGACTCTACTTTGGACAGGACATTGTCATTGCTTACTATCCCAGTCTCTATGTTCTGTAGCTCATTGTCTTCAAGCTCTGCATTGATTATTTGTTGGACACACAATGGTTTGTATTAATACAAGTCGTCCTGTTCCTACTAAGAACATCCATTGCAGTTCTAACGAGCAGTTATCTGTGTGGCATTGACTTAATCTCTTTTTGATGTGGATGTCTGACTTTTTACTACAAGATTTATAGAAATTAGATAAAAATTTTGAATGCTAAAAGTGAATTTTATTTCTTTATATTTGTCAGTTCTATCTTTTGAATAGTTGATAAAGAAATTTCTATACATGTTGGTGTTTCCAGGCAACAGTCGTTAATCATTAGAAATGTTGAAGCATATTTAAACAACAATTAATTGAGTAAAATTCATTCAAAAGAAGAATGTAGTTATCAAATATGTGAATCATCAAATTATTTTATTTATAGTGAAATATGAATTTTATTCTAAAACTTAATATGTATAAAACATTTAAATAATGAAACTACTTTGCTCAACAAAATTAGGGGATAATGTAATATGTAACAAAAGCAAACCTATGACTGATGAATTTTCCCCAAGAAAATGATAAGAAACTTGATATGAAATAGAAGTCTTAAAAACTTACATTTATTTAAATTTATGTATACCTGGTGACTTGTCAAGGATGAGCAAAAGATTTCTGATATTAAAGGACAGACGAAGAAAGAAAAACAAACCAAACAATCTGCCAAATTATTTGGCTATTATATGGCTAAGTTAATGATTAGAAACTATCTGTAGTTAATTCAAACTAAATGATTTTCCAAATTATCTAGTTTCTAATCATTAATGTTGCCATATAATAGCCCAATAATTTGGCAGATTATTTGGTTTTACTTAACTATAAATTAGATTTAGAGGTGATGATGAAAGAAAAAACATCTGTAGTATGTATGATTCTTGTGATCTGTTATAATCATCACATATCTGTGGCATTGATAAAATGAAAATATCAAGGAATATTTGTGGCATCCTTATTCACTTGTGTTGAAGATCATAAACAACTCAGTTGATGGGCAGCAATTCATCTTTCCAGAATGTCCCAAGAATGCTCATTTGGATTTAAATCTACTGAACTATGGCAAAAGAAGTCTGTGGAATGCATAGAAGTCTGTCCATTTCACACACTACATCTTTTAGCATGTCTGTAAATAACTGTGCTGTATGTGGATGCACATTATTTCTTTCTTCTGTAGTAGATAATGAAAAATTAGACTACTAATTTCATAAGAATTAAGAATACTCATTCATAAGAAGAATACTCATTCTTAAGAATACTCATTCATAAGAAGAAGAAAATTTAGGCAGCTTAAGGTATGATTTATACCCTGTAATTTACTACCATCACTGAACCATTTCTGATTATTTAGGAGTCTACACAACCACCAATCTGTCCAAATCAAAATTCCTCTTCCACAAAGTAGACCCCACTCTAGTAGAAGGGAAGGATTATTGTTGGTTCCTCTCACACCAGACTAGAATTCATTGATTATCTGGCTGTACGGCTGTTGACTCTCTGTGAACAGGACAGATTGTCATTGCTCAGTATCCCATTCTCTATGTTCTATAGCTCGTTGTCTTTAAACTCTGCATTGATTATTTGTTAACATTGGACACATAGGACAAAGTTCTGCTTCATGAAGATGATGGCTAATGGTTTGTGTTAATACAAGTTGTCCTTTTCCTACTAAGAACATTCATTGCAGTTCTGATGATCACTTAATGACAAATAATGTCCTCTCTTGAAATAGTTATTCATCTACAACCTTTTTGTACTATTCCTATACTTTGGAATCTACTCTAAAGTCTCTAATGATATTCTGTGATGTGCAACAGTATGTGCAATGGCTTGTTAAGTTTGCAATTTTCTTATTAGCTGCCAAGCTACAGAATCTGATAAGTTTTGCTGATGAAACATGGCTGAGCATCCCTTGGCTGCAAATGCAATACTGATAAAGTGCATTGGTGGAAATGGAAAGTTAACTTAGGCAATTTCCACCAATTACAATTACACATGCAAAATGAATCATAAATACAGATTGAATATTCACTGCTATTTTTTACAGTAGTAATCATAAACATGGTATAATAGAAGATATTAAGTGATTTTAATGTGTGCTGTTACTCTTATGTCTAAAATTTCTGGATTTACTCTGTAAATTTCTACTTATAACACATTATATTGAATTTTGTTGAACATTGTATATTATAAATCAGTTGCTAGATTTAAAAAAATAAATAAATAACAATTTAAGTTCAACAGTTCAGTAGATTTTAAAAACAGTTCAACTTTATATTTGAATAAATTCTACTTATATTTAATATTAAAGGCAAAAAAAGAATAACTTATTTGTTTATAAATTATTTTATAAACAAAATTTAAAATGTTTATGCTTTTATAAAATTGTATATTTTAAAATCTTAACAAATGAAATATTTTCCTTTTTCCTTTTATACTAATTTTCAGGGTGGAATTAGAACAAACACAACAGTTTGTCTGGGCAAGATTGCAATATATCTTCATCCACAAGTAGGTGCTGGAAAATTTAAATAGAATGAAATGGTTATATTAATAATTATTGTTTAATATAAAATAATAATAATGCCTCACAGACTAGGCAAAGAGTACTTGTTCCGGCTTTCATCAGAGCAATGAGAGATCCTTTTCCGCCTGCTCGCACTGCTGGTATATTAGCCATTGCTGCCACACAAGGATTTTATACATTAAATGACTGTGCAATAAAGGTTCTTCCTGCTTTATGTCAATTAGTTGTTGATCCAGATAAATCTGTGAGAGATCAGGTAAAGTGCTAGTTGTTAAAGTATTACTATATATTAAGGTTGATTGTAAGCTCTTTTGTTATGCACACGTTCACAAGCAGATGACAACAAAAATTTAATTTTTTTAATGAAAAAATCCTTTTCAAAAAATTCTTTAAAATTTTTATAGAGGAAAGATAAGTTGTAGAAAGTTTACAGAAAATAACAAATTTGATTTTCAAAATTCTGAACTGGATGTTAACAGAAGAATTAAATAGAATTCTAATGCAATTACTGTTTGGTTCTATCTAATTCAGATTTCTAGAATTTATTGAAAAGGATTTTTCCATAGTTAAATCTTGCCATCTGTTGAAGAATGTGTGTGCAACCAAAGATGCCAGTCTTGATAATTTGTAAATCTTTTTATTTTTATAACTTAAAATTTTATAATAAATTTCTGTTATATTGTAATAAAAATTTTGTGTGATTTTTAATAATACACTAGATTCTGCTTAATTAAACCACATCAGAGAATAGATCATTTGGCCAATTATGTGGCTATTATCCCAATAATCTGATAAAAAAGAAACCCCACTCTTTCCATGGTAGGATGAATCTACTGAAAAATTAATTAATTAAAGACAGGATGTTTATTTATATTATGAGTTTTGAAAAATTTATCAAGGAACTCTGATGTCTTTTTTTTATTGACTTCAGCTGAACAAAATCAGTGCATATGTCTAAAGTAGATAAAGGATTATCTTCATTCCTTTCCTGCATGAAATATTTATTTATTTATTTTAATTACAAATGGAAATGTATGAGGAGAAATGATTTGAACATTTGTTATTTCGAACAGGAAAAGATAAAATCTGCAAATAAAACATAAAACAAAAGAATAAACAAATATTAAACAATTATGTAATATGTAGCATATATTCACAAAATTTTTACTTTCCTGGCTGTTATACAGGGTGTTTTGAAATTTAATGGGCTAAAATTTAAGGGGTGATAGAAAACATCTAAACAAGCAATTTTCACCATACAATGCATGGGCGGAGAGCAAGCGGTGAACCGCTTGCTTTCCGCTAGATGGCACTCGCTACATCGCAGGTGTAACACCTGCGTTACTGCAGGCAGTCACTCTTTTCAGCAGTTTCTGTAATTTTGCCACACATGCTGTCAATAAAATTATTTAGTACCTCCTCTATTCGTTTGGTGTTTCGTTCTTTCATGTGACAGTAATGGATACCTCCTAGCAGTTCACCGCTTGCTCTCTGCCCATGCATTGTATGGTGAAAAGTGCTTGTTTATATGTTTTCTCTCGGCCCTTAAATTTTTCCCAATGAGTTTTGAAACACCCTGTATATAACAGAGAGAAAGTATGATGATTAGCCAAAAAATGACCTTGAAGAATTTTTTGACTCAAACATTTGACTCTGGACCTTGAAATGTTGAGAATGCAAAAAAATTTTGGGGTTTTTTTCCTGTATCTATGGATTTTAGTTTGTGTGTATGGTGGGGGTATGATTTTGTTTACCTACTTTGAAGCTTAATAACTCCTGTGCCTTTTGTTGAATATTTGTGAAATTTTGCAGAGAGGTTTGTATTAGGGGATTGGTGGTATTAACTTTGGTGGTTAAAAGTCAAGGGAGTGGGGAGATGGGGGTTGAGTGTCATATCTTCAGTGGGATTGGACTTAATGAAGATTTTATTTGTTATTATATTTCCATCTCCACTATGAAAATTAAGCCTTTTGCCTTTTTATAATAATATAAAAAGTTTTTAATAAAATATCATAACAGATGGTGCCACATGCAATTTTAAGCATTTTTTGCCACACATTATTACTGGATTTTTTAATATTGCAATTAATCACAATAAAGCATCTTTTCTGCATTAATCATACTTTTAGCTACATGATTAAAAAATGATATATGAGTAATACTTAAGTAGAAAGAGGAAATGTGAATATGTGAAAAATTTTAAACAGTTCTAAGAGGAACTCTTAAGTTGTAACCAATTAGTTAAAAGACCATTAAGATATTTTTAAAAAGTAAACAATCAAAGTATTTAATTTCAATTCTTTAATTTAGAGTAAGGAAAACTAATATCCTCTTACAACATTTGATAATTTGATATTAATATATGGTAGATGACATAATTTATTTAATAGCAAATAAACTTTGTGTAACTCCTGAAAAATTTTGTTAATAAACAATAGAGCAGTCATGTACCATATGAGAAAACAGTAATCCAGAAGTGATTGAAAATTAGTTAAGAAGATAGATTGTAAAATACTCTTGGAAAAAATAGTATGGAAAAATTACCTTAATATATTTTAGCAGATTGCTGATGCTTTAACTAACTTGTCAATGTTGTACAGTAAGGTCTCGTTTTATGCGGATTTTTTTTATGCGATTTTGAAGTTGTGCGGTTTGTATTTCATCCAAATTTTTTTTGGACAAACATACATATAGGCTTGTTTAGGAAGCCCGCGTATAGACAGTCTCCAAAAATCGTGGGACGCTCAAAGCTCACTCAATTTGTTCCACTGACATATAACCTTTATGGATGTAAAGGACAGCTAGATCTATCTTAATCGCTTTAGTTCCTAGCAATTTTTGATATAAATGTAATTAAACATAAAAAATACTTAAAACTGAAAAAAACGAAAGAAATGCGTTAATTTTGAAGAAAAAGCTTCAAAGTTTAACATCCTTTGTCTTGCCCTTCTGTGAAATTTAACAGGATGAGTCAGTTTATACATCTGGATGACCTTGAACACAGCTGGAGTTGGATTTCCCGGGGCATTCTCATAAACGTCGCGGCAGGACAAGGGTTTAAAGTAGGGTGAACACTAGCTGGCCGTACATTTTTTAATATTTTTAAAAAATTTGGAGACTTAAAAACATTCCAAAAATTCAAAAAAAAATGTAAAACTATATTACTTTTCAATAAAATTAACTGAATTAAGTTTGAATACAAGTTTATTTTAAGCTTTTATATGAATTTCTTTCAGACATTCGAAGTAATTTATTAAGCAGCCTATTTCTTTTAATTTCTGCAAACTTTTTTTATGCGGTTTTAAGTTAATTTTAATTCGTTGTTTTGGTTTTATGCGATTTTAGAAAATTATGGAACGTATCCCTACTTTTTCAAGGCAAGTAAAGTCTTTTTTTATGCGCTTTTCTGTAGAACGTATCCACCGCATAAAACGAGACCTTACTGTATTTGAATGATAACTTGTTATCAAAAATGAGCAATTATTTATTGTGACGTTGTCACAATTCCAGGCTGCAATGTTTAATCACATTCGTAATTTATTCAATTTAAAATATATGTTCTCCATGTCAAATTTGTATCAATAGTATCTTGTCCCTGTACATCATACTTTTCCTGATAACAGAATCATGCTGGTTATTATGTAACTCCATTTAGGAAAACATTTTTGAATTGAATTTATGTGATTTCCTGTTTGTATATAGTTAATCATGGCCTCTTTCCCCTAAGCTTTCCATGTACCCCTCTCTCGGCTTTCATATATTTAACACCATTCTCGAGATTAAGGTAAGACAGATGGACAGATGGATGACAGTGTGAATTTATAGGTCTACAATTTTTTCAAATTGCAGCCAAATAATTCCAATTGTCTTAATTCAGCATTATGTTCTCTAGCACCCTGCTCAGTCACTTTCATCATCATAATCACAAATTTCTTAGACTTTTAAAGTCTTCAACAGTTTTGTCACATTTTGTTCAATAATCAAAATTGCTTTGTCTCTGTCCCAATCTTTTAGGTCTAGCAAATTCAAGAATATCTATAGAATATCATTTCCTACTTTAAACCTATTTTGCTACACAACTTCTGATAATTGACATAATTTTGGTGTAACTAGAGGCACATTATTTATAGTTTGCTCTCCAATTACAGTTGTCATTGTCCCAGATAAGTGACTAATAGGTTTTAATAAGCAGCACATTACATTAAATACATTGAGTTGTTTCTGTTCTCTGCATTTTGGACCAAATAAATGGCTTCCTCAATTAACAGTGGCCCAATTAAGCAGAATTTACTGTATAACAAAATTTTTAATGAAAATAATTGTAATTTCTAGGCATTTAAAGCTATAAAAGGATTTTTAAATAAATTAGAAAAAGTATCAGAAGATCCATCACTATTAGAACAAATGGGTAAGCATTTACTTTATTTTGGAAAACTATTAATATAGTAATATATAATTTCATTATATGTCATAGACTTTAATCAGTTTTAAAAAATGATNATAGAAAGGATCATGGACTTAATGAAGATTTTATTCGTGGTTAGCATTTCCAAATTTTTATAAAACTCATCTCTAACCTTAAAATTAAGCTTTTTGCCATTTTACAATAATTAAAAAATTTTTATAACAAAATCTCATAACAGATGGCGCCACACACAATTTTATTTATTATAATTAAAGATATACTATTTTAAAAGTTATTTTTTAAATAAAATTTCATAACAACCGGGAAAGTTTCGCCTGATTTTTTTATATAATTGATTTAACGTGTCCTTTTAATATCAATTATCAAGATTATATTACGATTAATAATGACGTAAAATAAAATTCAAATAACTCAAGTAGAATTCAATTGTATTATAGAATACAGCAGCAGACTACAGTGTAATTATTTTCTTTCGTACTTATAATTGATTTTCCAGAAAATAATTATAATTTTTGGCTTCAATAAATTAATTTTATATTTGTTTATTCTGTAGGTTATTTAAGTTTATGTAGTTTATGTTTTTATATTAATAGGGATGCACGCTGTAGCTCTTGCGAAAAGACATGGTTTTATACAGAAATTATTATTAAATAAATAAATAAGAAGCTGTCCATAAATTATGTAACACATATATGGGTAAGTGAGTATACAAGTATATAAAGAGGGTACGAAAGGGTGGGGATATTTATAAGGGGAATGATTCATTTTTGTTTCTAAAGTGTTGCATAGAGAACTGTATTGTTTATGTCACTGTACGTTATAGGTGTAATTAATAAAATAATGTAACGTTTTGCACTTCCATGCTGTGTATTATTTCTTAGTACAATTAAGAATCGATCGAGGATGTGTGTTACCTAATTTTGGGAGTGGGCGCGTGCGACAACGTTAAGGTGTGTTTTCGTAGGAATTTCCACTGCCTGGCAGCGATCGAGTGTTTTCGTTTATCGCGACTGTCGACTGGTAGTCAGTTGTTGAGAAGGAATAAATCACAGTGTTTGTGCAAGACAGATCCCAAAGTGGTTGCCTTTTTTAATCGAGGAAGAAGAAGAGGATCTCATTCTGTTATTATCAACAAAAAATGCTACATTTTACTATTGCAGAAGGTCTTCATTTTTACGGTCGTATAGCGCAAGATATTTTCTAATCTCTTCGATCGGAGTTTCGCCCTCTTCGGCCGAAAAAGCAATATTAATGGTTGAAAAATTTCCCATTGTTAATAAATATCATCAGAAATACCTAGGCGGTCAATATGGCTGTTACATTTGGACTGGAACATTACAGGGAGATAGCATGGTATTAAAAAGTATAAAAGTAGCGTTACGTAATTTACGACGATCCCTAGTAACAGAATATAACAGTATTCATACTATGGCAAATAAACATTCTATAATATAGTAAAAATCATAGGATGTAATAAAAGATGTTAAGGAGAAAAAATAAAAATTAACGTGCAATTATTTATTGTGACATCGTCACAAATGCCAGGCTGCGATTTTTCGTCACAATGTTCTTAATTTTAGTAGTGTATTACCCCTGTACATTATACTTTTCCTGTTAATAACGGTCATCTAATTAGCACCGTCCGTTCAGAGGACTTTTTAAACTGAAAAATGCAAACCGAAAGTTTGTGTATAGTTAATCGGAGTTTCCTGCTCCTAAGCTTTCCATATCTGGTCTCAACTTCTATTCGTCGAACTCCGTTCTGGAGATTAAGAAAGGTCAGACAGATTGACAGACGAACGCCAGTGAGAATTTATAGGTCTATAATTTTTAAAAATTGCAACCCAATTATGTAAGGTATTTTACATTGCCTAAATAAGGTTTCTATTAATACATTTAAAGGTATAAGTGGAATAAAAGTGACGTTACAACGATTAAAACAGATACCTGTATTTATTAAACTGTGTAAAAAAACGGTGATTAGTATTATTATTCAGCAAATGACTGAAAAAAAAAACGTTTGCATTGGGTTTTTATTACTGTTCCAAACAAGGACCGCTATTGAAATTTAATGCCCTATTAAATGTCCCTCGCACTTTGGGCAAATAAATATATTCACATTCTCAAGCACTCATCATGAACCCAATCTGATTTTCATTAAAGGAAGTTTGCGTGTTGCTGATTTTGGAAAGACAATGCCTTTTATTGGAGTTTTCCTGATCTTTTGAAAATCAGGAAAACTCCAATAAAAACACAGAATTTGTTATATAAACTTCTGTTTTCGTGCTTTTCCCCATTCTCATATCCTGTTTTTAAATGGTTCTCTAAATTCTACGAGGAATAAGAATAAGAAATACATCAAGCTCTAAATTCTACGAGGAATAAGAATAAGAAATACATCAACTTTATACATTTTTTACGGTTGAATATTTTATAAATAAATTTAGTTGATACGGAACTTATTCGGAATATCTACTATAAAGAAATATTAAAATTTTTTTATTAAATTTCCGAAGAAAGAAAAGAAAAAAAAATGTCATCATCGAGTCGTATAAAAAACAAAATTAAAGAAAAAAACATTTAAAAAATTACAAGATAAATGTGATATAGTAAAAGAAAATGCATTAAACAGCTAAAATTAATTCGAACGAAGATAATTAACATTCACTTAAACAATTTTTTAAAGAAATTTTTAAATTATTTTTTTAATTATTAATTTTCCGGATAAGCTTTACTTCTTGGAAGATAAATTTTCAATCATTTTTATTCGAAGTTAAGTAAATAAAAATAAAATTCTTTCGTTCCTTCGGAGATTGTCGAGTAAATGTTATAAGTTCAATTCAGTTAGAGATAATGATTAGTGATTTGCTCTGGATTTTATAATTAAATTTACGACTTAAATGCTTTACAAGTTTACTTCTTAATCGATACAGGAAACGTTCACGAAAATATAAAATATTTTCCTTAAATTAAAATATAAGTAAATTTGTAATTAAGCCCTGTCATCTGATAAAAATTTTAACAATTGTATTATATTATGTAATAAATTTCGTTTTCAGTCTGATGAAATAATGCAAACCCAATGCTATCTTTCATCAGTTTAAATATTTAATTCAGAGAATAAATGTTATATATAGAAAGGATCATGGACTTAATGAAGATTTTATTCGTGGTTAGCATTTCCAAATTTTTATAAAACTCATCTCTAACCTTAAAATTAAGCTTTTTGCCATTTTACAATAATTAAAAAATTTTTATAACAAAATCTCATAACAGATGGCGCCACACACAATTTTATTTATTATAATTAAAGATATACTATTTTAAAAGTTATTTTTTAAATAAAATTTCATAACAACCGGGAAAGTTTCGCCTGATTTTTTTATATAATTGATTTAACGTGTCCTTTTAANTAGCAATAGAGTCGTGCCGGTTATCTATCTAACTACTTTCAGGGAAAAGCTTTGAATTGAAATAACATGACTTTCAGTCTGCATTGAAAGTTTATATATAATTAATCAGGGCCTCATACTCCTAAGCTTTCAATATCTGGTCTCGTCTCTCATCTATCTAACTTCGTTCTCGAAATTAAGGAAGGACAGATAGATAGACGACAGTGGGAATTTATAGGTCTAATGTTTTTTTTTTTTTTTCAAATTGTACCCAAATAGCATACAAAAACAATAACAGACGCGTAGATCCACATCAATTCCCTAAAAACCGATGCAAACCTATAAAATTACAATGTATTTGACTGGTTTATGTTGTTGCGGAGTCTGTAATCTAAAAGAATATATTAAAAGTACACGAATCAGTAAATACAAAGCTAGCTAAACACTTTCTCCATTTGTAAAATATATTTATCTAGTTATTTTATAAGAACATTGTGACATCATTAAAAGAAACAAACTATTTTCTGTTTGGATTCAAGCTTTGATTCAGTAAATCACAATTTTTTTTAATGCGAAATAATTGACTATTTTGGGAAATTAATGTCGAGAACAGGAGTTAGATAGATGACAATCGAGACTCCGTTTAACTATATATAAATTTCCTGTATAGACCGGAAGTCATGTGATTTCAGTTCAAAAATTTCCCCCAGAACGGTAGACGACAGGCATGACTCTATTATTGTCAGGAAAAGTATGATGTACAGGGGTAATACACTAATAATTTGAGATCCAGATCATACATTTTAAATTAAACAAATTAAAAATTACAACCAGGCATTTCTTTTAATTTTGTGGATTTACTTCGATAATACAATAAAATTTTTGATCATCGATGCCAAATCAATTATCTTTATGTACGTTCGAGTGTCGGTCCGTTATCTTTACGTATCCTTTGGGTGTCTTCTCATTACTTTTCTCTGCCTTTTAGTGTTCGTCCGTCGTTTCTTTATCCGTTCTTTAGTAAATTTCATCTTTAAATATCGATTTTTTAGTCCTTTCTGACCGTTGCTTGATAACTTTTTGTAACAGACACCTTAAATATAATCTTACGATATGATTTTGGCGACAATTAAGCTAATCAAAATATTGCAACATAGTAATTTTTAATAGATTAGCCAAACTAATTTTAAGATAATACAATTTTCTTGATCCATCTTTAAAAATCGCGTAAGATCGTACAGAATGAGAAGAATCATCGTCGACTTTTCTTGATGAATTAATAAATTTGAATAAGATAAAATTATTCTTTTACATCTTAAATTTATTTATAAGTTACAAAAAAACAGCAAAATTAATTAGAAGAATGTGTTTAAAAATTCTATCATCGTCTAAATATCTTTAATGATATATAACAAAAGATACGACCATACAGAATTGATACATTTATATTTTTAATCAAGAAAATACCAAAAAACCTTAAGGCGAAATAAAAAAAAATGAGTAAACCAGCTTCAGGAATATCTGTTATTGACAGTTTGTTTTTTTTTATTTTTATTTTACAAGTAAATTGTTTTTATTTTCAAAATAAGATAGTTCTATTATTAATTCAATTACATTAAACAAACCGAAAAGACAGCTTTATTATGCAAGTAAAATTCATAATATGGAAGATTTCGATTAGAAAACATATTTAAAGAGAACTTAATTTGGATACTAATTAAAGTTTTCCTAATTAAAATGAACTTTAATGATTTACAGACGAACAGATTATCAAAATGATGTATTAGATTAATGAGTGCTCATAATAATTCATAAAAATCGATATGGGAATTTGAGACAAGCGCCACCACTATTATAATATGATAGTAAACCTCAATATCCACTCATTCGCTTCTCCAACTGAGCAGCATGAACATCAGTTATCATCCCAACTACACTAACTCCGATTCGTTCTCTTCTTCTGGTTTCTATATAGCAGCATCGTTCCTCTTTCTCATATGGTTCTTCGGATGTTTTAATAACTTTCTTGCCATTTTAGCTATCGTTTCCGATCGATGTTTGAGAACTCCGATGAATGGAATCTTGTTGAATCTCAGTTTGAGTGATTTGAGTATATCCGCTTTGGGAACTCCTTTGTCTTTTATAGCTGCGCTCAATCAGAGATGGCCTTTTGGACAGTTTCTCTGCTACTCTTATGGCTTTTTTATGACATTAACAGGTGAGTCGAACATTTCTAACTTTCCACTGAAGATTTTGACGATTTTTAATAATATTTTTCAATACGTCGGACAGAAAATCGAAGCTTAACTTGTCGTCGTTTATCTGTAACTAGACTGATTTTCCGTCATTATTTTAATGTTTTTCTCGTAATTTTCTTCAGATTATTGAATAAATATCTGACTAAAAAAACAAAAAAAAAAAACAGATATTATAAACGCTAAGAAAATTTAATATAAATTATATTATTAAAAGTTTTTAAAATTAAGTTAAAATTATTAACCGTATTAAATTAAATAATTGATTAGTCTTTCTCAGTGGATGATGCATTTAATTTAATGGTATTGTTTAAATACGAAAACTATTTTTCATTTAAAATTTGAATTTTATGAAAATATAATCTGTTTATTTAATGAATAAATCAAATTCTATCCATAAAATCTCAGAGAATATTCGAATTTTGTTATACGTAGAGATTACTTTTCAAGTGTTTATTATTGTTAATAATAATAATAATAATATTATTTTTTTTAACTTTTCGTTACCTGAACTAATATTAGTAAGATTGCCTATCGATTTACTATTGAATCATTCGTAAAAATAAATATATATTTGTTTTAAATGACAGATTCAGGAGCAAATCTCAAAGGAGGGAGGGATAGCCTCCGTTATCAACCCCTTAATTCACGCTTGTCTTAGAATAATTGCTTTAAAAATCAGTTTAAAAAAATAATAATGATAATAATAATACAAATCTGTAGTTATCTATTAAAATTTCAATTATAAAAGATTTAATTTACAATTTGTTTTACAAAAGTTTCGGATTTAAATTTTCGAATGCCTTTAAACAAAATATAGTTTAAAAATTGTTTATTCTACTTTTTATTTTATTTACATTAATTATTATATGATTTAGTATTTTAATATAATAATAATAATAATTGTAATTACCACTAACATCTTTCTTTAAATTTTAAAGAAAAAATTAAAGTAAAATTCTAAATTATGTGTTCTTTTTTAACATCTTGTTACTAAGTTCACTTAAGTTATATATATATATTTTTTTAATGAAAAAATAAATATATTTAAATATTTATCAAGTTTTTTAACAATATTTTTCTGTTGGAAAAAGGTAATATTTTAGAATAATTCGAAAAATATGCATCAAGGGATCTACGCGAAACATTTTAATTGAAGACTACCGAGAATTTTTATTAAATTTCCCGTTTAAATAACGTTGAAACTTCATAAAAATTTCACTTTAAACGAAAAGAAAAATAAAGTATTTAAAGTTTAATTAATTAATTAACTTAAATAAAACTATTTAAGTATGGTATTTCACGTATATTCTAATACAAACCATTTTTTTAATAAATAAATATTTCATACGCCGTTATAACCGAAAACCATAAATTAATACAATGATTTATCGCTTAGAAATAATACAATAAATTGTATACATCCTTATTAATTAAACATTAATAGAATAATACCGAAAATAAAGTGATAATTATAAAATCTTGAGGAACAAAAGCTAGGGATTAAATTAATTAACATTAAAATAATGATTGATAATATTTAAAATACGATAAGTTATTACGTTCAGTGATGAAATTATTAAATTATTTAAGTATTTTCTGAAAGAAATCCGTAAAATTTAGTACTCGGATCCCGATAATAGCATTAAAAAGTGAATTATAAAGTCAAAGTTTTGCCATTTATAATACTAAACTTTAATTAAAGATTTAATAAATTGAATGTATCTATTCGTCTAAATAATAAGTGAATTAATAAATCTTTTAATTGTATTGATAATTACAATAATTTAAACATTTAATCAGTTTAAATCGTTTTAAATAAGTAAAAGGTATATAAAAGTATTTTTGATATCGATCTTGACGTTGAAATTTAATAAAGTGTATCAGAAATTCAATGTCAATGGAAAAAAACTTGTCTAGAGTACTTAATGAACTTGTACAGGATTAAATTTCTAGTTGAAGTAATCTACGAGAGCTGACAGAGACTTATATCATGGATATTATATTGAGTAAATAGTCTAATTGTTTCAAGTTCAATGGCGAATAAAATTCTATTTTATAAAATATACGACACACTTTCTATTAATTTTTTTAAAGTTTTATAAAGAATTGAAACTTTTCTAATTAGTTTTTTAAGTATTTTATTCTCCTGAGACCAATTAGAATTGTTAATTCTAGCATAAAAAAAGTTTCTTCTTATGACGTCTGAACATTTATTAGAAAATGTTTCAGTTTGTCCGACTTATTTTGAATAAACGGCTGGGGTTAAAAATACGGTTTTGGTATCAAATTAAAGCTCTTATCCTATAGATGATGCCGCTTATGAGAGATTTGGGAATGGGGTAATGTTACGGACGAAGTGGCTAAGTCTGTGGGACGAACAAGGTGAGTCGGGTCCCACTTCCTGTTAACTTTAGCACGAGCAATTTAGTGTTTTACAGTTTAATTATTGAAAATGCTAAGGTCAATAAATGTACAATTTAGTTACTAAAATCGCTGTTTTGATCACCCTCTCCAAATTCAACCTTATCAACCTTTCACCCCCCTCAAAAGCCCGATACATGCAATTAGTTTTATCTATATTTATCAACGGATAAAAGATAAGAACAATAAATCTAATAAATAAAAAAATAAGTAAGATTCTAAAGTTTTTCATAAAATGTGCTAATTACTTAATAATTAGTTAATTAATTAAAATCACTAATGATTTAATCATCGTGTTCTTTTTAAGTTAATTACGTAAGAAAAGATGCGAGATGAAATTTCGTGATTATGATATTTGACTTAATTATTAAAAAAAAACTTAATTGTGGTAATTAACTTCTTAAAACTGATTCATTTGTTTAATTAGACACTTTATCTAATTATGAATTCATGCTTAATTAAAATTCAAAATACAAATTATAAGAACCGAACTCTTTGATTTTTAATATGTATTATATTACATGTTACATGTTATATAATATGTATTATATTACATATTATATTATATTACAAGTTAATTAAAGTAAAATTATCCAATAAGATAACATTAAATTTCGATAGAATATTATGTTCTGTGTATATAAAAATGGAAGAATATAAAGTTAATAAGATAAACATTACATTTTACATCAGAAAGAATAGAATATTATTCTAAAAGTATTGCTACTTTAGCATTAAAAAAAAAAAATTGAATAAATTTTTAATCCTGTAACTTTATTTTAGATGATAAAATTTAATGAAGAAAAAAGTGTAGTTTCTCGTAAACGAGTGTACGCTTTAAAAGAAAGATTAAATATGTTTTTGTTAATATTTATAGTTGTATTGATCTAAAACCTTTTAGTGCTCTAAATAACAATAAAATATTCAAGAATTGAAACATTAAAGAGTATTTTTATAAGAGCTATTTAAGACAATTCATCTTAAAGCTAATCGTAACCTTTCTGGTTATTCCAGCAATTGACGGTAAGAATTTAATGCTTTTCCTATGGGAAAAATCTTTTTATAAAAATTCTAGAAACGGAAGCAGATAGAACAAAACAGTTTATTGCTTTAGGATCATATTCTATTCTTGTATTAAGGTATAGTTCGGAATACGAAAATCCAGCTCTTTACTTTAGAAATTCCTCCCTTATTTCTATGTATTATATCCAAAACATACGAATAATTTTCTATATTTGGACTCTATTTATGAATTAATCTACATAATGATTCTCGTCGGATTAGAATCTTACAGAGCGGATAATTAGATATACAGCTGTCCCTTGATAATCCGACAGGTATGGGACTAAAGGGGTGTCGGTTTACCAAAAGTGTCCGGATTATTGAAAGTGATTACATATTTGGCATTGTTTTGCTAGCAGTAGCCTACAATATTCCCTATTCCAACTGTTCGAACAGAATTACTCACGGAAAACACACAAAATGTGTCATCGTGTAAGAATTTGGTGGGGAGATTTACGTTGCGACATGCTTCTGTGCAAGCAGACAAGTAACGGGGACGGGTACCTTGACGGGAGGTGCGTCGGACTACTGAGCATGTCGGATTACAAAACGTCGGACTATCAAGGGACAGCTGTAGTCCAATAAACATGGTGGAAAAAGACTAGTTTGTACCGTAAGAGGTGGTATCATAATCTGTGGAGACATTATGCTTAATGATCACACTGAACTCCACGTTTTTACCAGGGATACCATTACTGCAAGAAGGTGAGATTTCGAAACCCTTATGTTAAATTTTTCTAAAATGCTGTGTATAGTGGGAGATTAACCATTATACTGAGTAGGCTAAAACCTAGGGACCCGAGAGTAAAACAAAAAAAATTCATTGATATGTTATTTAACCTAACTTAAAATCATTTTAGTCAATTCAAAAAAGGGATACGTTAGGGGATTCTTACTATTGCGCTGTGTAGAGGCCAGGGTGATAATTAATCCGCCACTGGTTATGGTGCAGATTTCACTTTCTTGGACGATGATGAAAGAGCATATAAAGTTTCACTCGTCAATGACTTTCTTGACAGTGGAAATATTCGTTGCACGGAATTGCCAGAAGTATCGTTGGACCTAAATCCTATAGAATATAATTCCGTTAGCCTCTACCAAGAACACTAGGAGCGTCAAGATGTTCGTTGACTTTGCTCCCGACAGAGCCGATAAACGACGTTATAACAGCATGAGTAATCGTTATGTAGCGTGTGTGCGTGCGGGAGGCAACCACAAGTCATATTAATCACTTTCTGTGCAAAAAAAAATTACCACAATTGTTTTTTTCATTCGATTTGATTCAGATTATATTTATGAAAAACTGATATGACCACCATTTTGTTTTTATTGTGGTAATAGGTAGGAGATATTTCTATATCTTAATCTACATAAATCTAAAATTTCATCCTAATCTTCCCAGAATGTTTTTTTCATTTAACATAAAAAATTAAAACTTTATGATAAATAAATAAAAAAAACTTCTAAGAAATGTCCATCTTTAATAATAAATGTACAGTACAATTTCTAAATTTTAAGCTACTAGCCATTAAATTCAAAAAAAAATAAAATAAAACGTTATAGACAGACTGAAATTTTTAACATTAATTTATATATTTTAAATCAATGTTAAGAATTTTGTACTTTAAATTTAAAAATTTAAGATTTTTGCATTTAAAAATATTCAAAGAGCGTGTGTAAAAGTGAAATTAAATTACTCGAAAGAGCTGTTATATAAAACTTTTTAATGGGTTTACCTCTTTCAGTTTCGAACAAACAAATCTTACGTTTTCAATACAGAATGTAAATAGTTTGAAAATAAGCATTGAATTCAATGCTGTTCCAAAAGAATTCAATACGGTAAGTAAATGATGTTAAATATAAAAAGTTTGTGGATATTTACATATATATAAAGTCTACTTTCTTAATTTAATAATACTTAAAATTATATTATGTAAACTTTTTAATATTTTTTTTAATAATTGACAGATGTAACTCAAGTAGCACAAGAGAAATTGAAGATGTTAAATAAGCTTATACACATTTGAAACTTAATTTTTATTACAATTATATAAAAACTTATAGTTATAAACTTTATAATTTATCATTTTAAAGTTATATATTTGAAAATTATAAATTTAAAGTTAGAGAAATATAACATAAACCTAAATTCCTCAAACTAATCGAGTAATATTTTTGAATGGATGCAATCGATATTCAAGAGTATATTTAAAATTATCAATTAAATAACGTTAGAGACAAGACTATATTATTAATTAATATAATAACTCAACACAAATTAACACCACATATAAAAATTATTATTAAAGATAACACAATTTGTAATGCAATCAATATGCTCGACGATATCATTAATTTATGAGTTTATTATTAATTTTTTGAGTTAAAAATATAATTTAATGTTTGATATTAAAAAAAAAATTTATAAATAAATACCGAAGAAATCTAATGGACGAAAGTTTGGAAGTATTAAAAACTTGACGATAAAAAAAAAATCCAGCAATGAGTTGCTTAACTTTCCCGGCAACATTTGTTGGCGTCATCTGTTACGATATTTTATTATTAAAAACTTTTTTTATATATATTTTAAACTTAATTTTGAGGGTAGGTATGGGTTTTATAAAATTTATAAATGCTAATAACGAGTAAAATCATCATTAAATCCGATACACACGATCTCCATTATCTCCCCACCCCCTCGACCTTTAACCATCGAAATTTAATAGCGTTAATCCCCCTAATAAGCAAACCTAGCTGCAAAATTTCAGAAACTTTCGACGTAAAGTACACGAGTTATTAAGCTTCAAACAGGGTAAAAAAATCGTGTCTCCCCCCAAACACACTGATGTCTATACATACATAAATTACCCCGAATTTTCTTGCATTTCTCGACGTTTCAAAGTCCCTCGAGTCCAAAAATATTTTTTGGGGGGTCATTTTTTTTGACCAACGGCCATATTTTCCCTCTGTTATATATATATATATATACAACCAGGAAAATAAAAACGAAATTCCATTAATTAATCAAATGCTTCACAGTTCTTAGAATACGAAGAACGATACATACAGCGATTTGATTCTTCGGAAATTACCGAAATATTAATAAATAATTACTTAGTCTATGTCGTCGCGAATTTAATCGAGTTGTAACGATTGTTATTAATTAAATAATGGTAACGAATTGTTTTCTTGAAACAGGAATGACAGCAGTGGGAACAGTGACAGTAATAGCTGTGGAAAGATACATAATCCTGTCCAGACATTATCAGTCAGTGGGTCTAACTAAAGAAAAAGCCGTAGCGTGCATCGTGTGTATTTGGATTTATTCACTGAGTATGAGTTTACCTCCTCTGTTCGGCTGGAATAGATATATACTAGAAACACCGGGTATAGCTTGTTCTGTGGATTGGGAAACGAAATCTGTAACCAACACTTCCTACATCATTTATATCTTCATTCTTGGTTACTTCGCACCCGTCCTGATTATGGCATCCTGTTACGGCAAAGTCATATACATTGTTTGTAAGGTGAGTATACTGATCGATCATCTTATTTTGGTTATTTTAAATTGGAAACAAAAATATAATCGTATCATTCTTAAGCTCTTTTCATTCGATTCTAAAATTTCTAAGAGATTTTTATTACTTTCAATTTATTTTATTTGTATTTTACGATTTATTTTTATCTTATTCTTAATCGATTATTTTACGGAATTTCATTAATAAAAATATAATTTAATTATTATAAATATTTCGATAGATTAACGATGATGAAAATTAATTTCGTTATACTCCAATTTAATTAGCTTTTAGAGCAAATTATATTAGAAATATCATAAGTTTATTGAGGAATTATATTTATTTACATAAATGTCTTACAGTCTGTACATAAGTTAAAAATATTTTTTTCTTTTAAAGGTAGAGCTAAAATAATTTTCTATTTCTGTAATATAATTTGGAAACCAATTTTGGTAGAGTAGATACCGATATAGGCCTATAATATAGATTTCTATTACCAAGGTTGAATCGATTATTATCAATAGTGTTAAAGAATAGTTTCCGTGTCTTATCTCCGAGTCTTTAGAAAGATTGAGATTAAACACGAACCTTTCTTTCTTAACAGAAATTGTAATGAAGTTTTCTTTTTGAATTTCCATAATTTTATTTGTTATTTCTATAATATGTCCAATCGGAAGTAAAGAGCTAACGAACCCGTTATTTACAAAGTGTTATCGCTCATTTGAATACAGTATAGTACATACAATTCATCTTTGTTTTATAAACTTGGAATTAAAACGTTCGCTGTTTTGTCCGAAAAAAAAATGCCTAGGCGAAATCGTAAGAGTAATTGTTCTTATTCTTTCAGATCTGATCAATTTTAATTGATCAGATCTGAAATAATAAGAACAATTGAGATCCCTGAAGACCGTGAAAGCAACATCGAGTAAGAATGACTTTTTTAAGGGCTGCAGAAACATCATAACGTCAAGCTCGAGGGTATAAACTATAATTAATTCGTTGAAATATTAGTAATACTACTTGATTTCTTGAAATCTCTAGTTTTTCTCTTATCAATTCTTCAATCTCTACTTTCTCATAAAAAGTATCCGTCATGCTTGACGGGAGAATTTCTATTTATATAATACTTGTTGAAAATATAGAAAATACGGTTATATCCGGAAATTGTTTTTGCTGTATTTGATTCGAATATATAGTAAATATCGCGTAGTAATATTCATAGCAAAGTATTACAAAAATATATATTACTATAGTGGAGAATAAGTGGAGAATATAGTGGAAAGATGACCAAACTCCTAGTGTTTAGGAAACAGAACTTATCTATTTTTTAATTATTATTCCTGTTATTAGTGATGAAAGTTCGCTAAGAAATTCTGTACTCTATTTCTGGTGTAGTGGATATAAAACGGAAAGAGAATAATAACTGAAACAGATTTTTTAAATGATTCTGTTTCTGGTTTTTAATGATAGGAAACGAAGCATTAGAGTATCAAAAATCATATTAAAATCAGAAAAATTCTTTGATTATATAAAATAATAAATAAATAAATAAACGAGATATATAAAGGTAATAAAATATTTTCATATTAACATATAAAAGTAATTTTAAGACTATTGTATATATATCCATATTTTAATATTAGAATTTATTGATTTAGAAATGAAGAGTAAAATTTGACGCGTATAAATGGACTTTTGGGACATAAACGTCTAAAAATATACATTTAAAGAAGAAAAAATATTCAAAAATTTTCTTCAAAATTGTCTTCTTTATATAAATTTCTTTGTAGTTTAAATATTATTAACGGAATAAATTTAAAATATCAGTAAGGTTCAAATCGAATTTTATAATTTATTTAAATAACCATTTTAAATATATCTGATTGAATTTTATTCGGTATATTAGCTTGACAGACTTTAATGAGATAGAATAACAATTTAGTTATATCTAGTAACAAAATATTGCAGTTGTATAGAAGTACAGAGAAATTGTAACGACAGATTCGTGCGTAAAATGTCACTTCGAACTTCTCTTATACTGAAGCTTCCTTTACATCATAAATCGATTTTTCAATATTGTTTGTGAAAATATCAATAAATAGAGATTATTATGAGTTTTGCTTGTAACAATTTCGAAAAAATTAAAAATATATAAAACTATAAGACTCTTCTGACTTCAGAGGTGATTAAAACACTCAAATAATCCTTAAAAAGTGTTATTTTAATGTTTTAATCTCAAGAAAGGATTATTTTAATTCTTACACTTCATCTTACATCATACACTTACGATCATACGATTATAAGTTATGTAACAAATGTATTTCGCCAAAGTGACGATGCTTCATCCTCCTTAGTGATAATCACAATTTATCATCACTGAGGAGGAGAATCACAGCTTATTTACTACAATACCGTTGATAATTAATATATCAATGATAAAACGAATATGAATTTGAATTAAATTCACCGAAAATATTTCTTATAATTGTTATTCTCTTGTCTTTCTTACCACTACATACGTCTATTATTTATCTTCTTTATCCTTAAATTGTGTTATATAAAACTTTTATAAATAAATTATTTATAGTGTAATCAGAATATTTAAAACGAATCTAAATAAATTACAATCGTATAAAACTTTAATTCTATTAAAATAAATTGGAAACAAACGAATTGATAACTTTAACCGCTAAGAAATGTTTTTCTTTAAACAAAATACGCCTATATATTTTTTAATTATTTAAAGTTTAAAATATCAAAGATAATTCGATAATTGAAGACTATAATTAATTATTTAAATTATTCGGATATTTATTTCACTATTACTAGATTTAACTTTTCTATTTTTAAATATTTTAATGAGGGTTTCTTTTATCTTTATTTTTCTTGGAAATACTTGAATTGAGAAGAGTAAATGAGAAAGGATTCTTATTCCATTCTGCATACGGTTAGAGACAAATTAAAATTTTAAATGCAGTTTATCATTTTCCTCTTTAACATTTTATATTTAATAAACGACAATTATTTATTGTGACATCGTCATAATGCCAGGCTGCAATTTTTAATCATATTCTTAATTTATTTAATTTAAAATACAGTACTCTCTGTGTTCTCTATCTCAGACATGCTTCTTCATTATTCCTGTTTCCTATTTTACTGTCATTGGTCTTCAGCCTCCATGAACATCATCTTTCAGACCTCTTAATGCTCTCTGAACTAAAAGGGATCCTTAATAAATATTTTAGAGCAAAATTGAGACAATGTGTCCTATGCGCCAGGTAGTAGGCTACCCGGCATATACACTACATTAGGGGAAGTAAAGATGCATCCCATCTTGGCACAGAAAATTTAAGAAAAAGTATTTACAGTAGTGTATTTAAGCTATCCTCATCATAAGATAACTGTGGCAAGATATGGCATATATAAATACTGTAATAAATTGACCATTTATTATTATTATTATTATTATTATTATTTTATAAGCTTAATATGAATATTTTTTAAGTTAATGTTATATATAATTTTAAATATAGCAATTAATTGTTTATATTAGTTTTTAAATAAAATGATTATATAGGCTATATTTAGCAGTGTGGTGTTGGCAATATATGCAAAGGTGCTTGTTTATTAATAGAATCGGTTGATAAAATGTTATTTTAGAGCAATTGAATTGCTTAAATTGACAATATTTAGGTGGAAATTTCAATATGTTCCTGCTTATCAATGTTTGAGGATTGTCTTTTTATAATATTTATTTTTAAAGAAGTTATTCTACCGTCCGATATTTCAAGCCAGAATAATTCGGATCAAGAATCCATTGTCGTTTAATGTGAAGTTAATGGGCACATTGTCTATTAAAGCCGCTTTAGCAGGTAACGTGTCCAATGTACTGGATGAAAACTAAGTTCACGAAAGATAATATAACTCAGCTGAACGACTGACAATCGTAGTACTTACTGTTCTCTCAATTAGTTGTATTTCTTTAGGAATTAGCACAAGATTGCTGTTGTGAACAAATCACACAGGAACTTTCTTTTTTTTTATGGAAAAACTAAGTTTATTTTCTATAATTTAGAAAGAATATGCCCCTCTTCGGACCTATTTTATTAAATATATCGGCAAATGTAAGAAATTACAGAATGGGTATACCTGTAAAAATAAATAAAATTTCGTTAAAATGTATAGAAAGTTTTTTTTCTGACTAAAAGGTAGTAAAACATAATTAAAAAAAACCTTTAAAACCAATAAAAACTGGATAAAAATAAGGTGTAAGAGCATTCACTGTATGTTTGTTAGAATGTCTGATGTTTTATACAATACAGTGAATTAAAATTGGTGGGGGAAGGGGAGAACTGTAGAAGTAAATTATTATATTCTTTCTAAATTATAGAAAATAAACCTACTTTTTCTATCAAAAAGACAGTTCCTGTGTGATTTGTTCACAACAGCAACCTTGTGCTAATTCCGAAGGAAATACCACTGATAATCGTACTTTTTCTTAACTAAAAGGAAATTATTCATAAAAAAAGCATGCTAATTATTAAAAGAAAACTTGTTAATAGAGAGGTTACGGCCGAAGTTTTCAACGCAAAAACGTGTACGTCGGACGTTTAGCGCCGCCTTCCTGTAAGTCTAGAAGTTTGACAATAAAGTTTGGAACGTCGAGCATGATTCCACTGACGTTCTAAACGCCATTGTCAAACTTCTAGGCTCACAGGAAGGCGGCGCTGAACGTCCGACGTTCCAGTTTTCGCGTTGAAAACGTCGGCAGCAACCTCTCTAATAATAGAATTAAAGTAATAAAATTAATAAATAACAATGTTTCATATATTATTATTTGTCCTTTTAGGGACCAAAGATGATAAAGAATAAGAAGAAAGCAAAAGCTGAACAACGAGTGACAATGATGGCAGCAGCTATGGTAGTTTGTACTCTAACTGCTTGGACACCTTACGCAGTGGTATCATTAATGGTAACTACAGGATATTCCCATCTCATAGGTCCCATAGCGTCAGTAGCACCGGCCATATTCGCCAAAACTAGCGTTATATACAATCCAATTGTATATTTCTTCTTAAATACTCAAGTAAATATGCTTACAATTTAGAACTATAGAATTTTATTAATCTAACTAACATTTAACAGTTTATTTTTACAGGTTAATAAATCTCTTAAGAAAAAGTTTCAAAGAAGGTCTATAAGAGAGAGAAATGAAGATTTTTCTGTAACTACTAATTATTTTTATACAGTGGATAGCATCAAGCCAACTGTAGCAGTAGCAACGAGTGTTCCAATTAAATCCAAGAAATCTCTCAAAACTGACACTTCTAAAGTTTAAATAAATATTAAATATAAAGTAAAATTAAATAAAAAAATATATATAAGAATTCAAAAAATTTATGTTTCCCTTATCTAATANATTATTTAAGTATTTTCTGAAAGAAATCCGTAAAATTTAGTACTCGGATCCCGATAATAGCATTAAAAAGTGAATTATAAAGTCAAAGTTTTGCCATTTATAATACTAAACTTTAATTAAAGATTTAATAAATTGAATGTATCTATTCGTCTAAATAATAAGTGAATTAATAAATCTTTTAATTGTATTGATAATTACAATAATTTAAACATTTAATCAATTTAAATCGTTTTAAATAAGTAAAAGGTATATAAAAGTATTTTTGATATCGATCTTGACGTTGAAATTTAATAAAGTGTATCAGAAATTCAATGTCAATGGAAAAAAACTTGTCTAGAGTACTTAATGAACTTGTACAGGATTAAATTTCTAGTTGAAGTAATCTACGAGAGCTGACAGAGACTTATATCATGGATATTATATTGAGTAAATAGTCTAATTGTTTCAAGTTCAATGGCGAATAAAATTCTATTTTATAAAATATACGACACACTTTCTATTAATTTTTTTAAAGTTTTATAAAGAATTGAAACTTTTCTAATTAGTTTTTTAAGTATTTTATTCTCCTGAGACCAATTAGAATTGTTAATTCTAGCATAAAAAAAGTTTCTTCTTATGACGTCTGAACATTTATTAGAAAATGTTTCAGTTTGTCCGACTTATTTTGAATAAACGGCTGGGGTTAAAAATACGGTTTTGGTATCAAATTAAAGCTCTTATCCTATAGATGATGCCGCTTATGAGAGATTTGGGAATGGGGTAATGTTACGGACGAAGTGGCTAAGTCTGTGGGACGAACAAGGTGAGTCGGGTCCCACTTCCTGTTAACTTTAGCACGAGCAATTTAGTGTTTTACAGTTTAATTATTGAAAATGCTAAGGTCAATAAATGTACAATTTAGTTACTAAAATCGCTGTTTTGATCACCCTCTCCAAATTCAACCTTATCAACCTTTCACCCCCCTCAAAAGCCCGATACATGCAATTAGTTTTATCTATATTTATCAACGGATAAAAGATAAGAACAATAAATCTAATAAATAAAAAAATAAGTAAGATTCTAAAGTTTTTCATAAAATGTGCTAATTACTTAATAATTAGTTAATTAATTAAAATCACTAATGATTTAATCATCGTGTTCTTTTTAAGTTAATTACGTAAGAAAAGATGCGAGATGAAATTTCGTGATTATGATATTTGACTTAATTATTAAAAAAAAAACTTAATTGTGGTAATTAACTTCTTAAAACTGATTCATTTGTTTAATTAGACACTTTATCTAATTATGAATTCATGCTTAATTAAAATTCAAAATACAAATTATAAGAACCGAACTCTTTGATTTTTAATATGTATTATATTACATGTTACATGTTATATAATATGTATTATATTACATATTATATTATATTACAAGTTAATTAAAGTAAAATTATCCAATAAGATAACATTAAATTTCGATAGAATATTATGTTCTGTGTATATAAAAATGGAAGAATATAAAGTTAATAAGATAAACATTACATTTTACATCAGAAAGAATAGAATATTATTCTAAAAGTATTGCTACTTTAGCATTAAAAAAAAAAAATTGAATAAATTTTTAATTTTGTAACTTTATTTTAGATGATAAAATTTAATGAAGAAAAAAGTGTAGTTTCTCGTAAACGAGTGTACGCTTTAAAAGAAAGATTAAATATGTTTTTGTTAATATTTATAGTTGTATTGATCTAAAACCTTTTAGTGCTCTAAATAACAATAAAATATTCAAGAATTGAAACATTAAAGAGTATTTTTATAAGAGCTATTTAAGACAATTCATCTTAAAGCTAATCGTAACCTTTCTGGTTATTCCAGCAATTGACGGTAAGAATTTAATGCTTTTCCTATGGGAAAAATCTTTTTATAAAAATTCTAGAAACGGAAGCAGATAGAACAAAACAGTTTATTGCTTTAGGATCATATTCTATTCTTGTATTAAGGTATAGTTCGGAATACGAAAATCCAGCTCTTTACTTTAGAAATTCCTCCCTTATTTCTATGTATTATATCCAAAACATACGAATAATTTTCTATATTTGGACTCTATTTATGAATTAATCTACATAATGATTCTCGTCGGATTAGAATCTTACAGAGCGGATAATTAGATATACAGCTGTCCCTTGATAATCCGACAGGTATGGGACTAAAGGGGTGTCGGTTTACCAAAAGTGTCCGGATTATTGAAAGTGATTACATATTTGGCATTGTTTTGCTAGCAGTAGCCTACAATATTCCCTATTCCAACTGTTCGAACAGAATTACTCACGGAAAACACACAAAATGTGTCATCGTGTAAGAATTTGGTGGGGAGATTTACGTTGCGACATGCTTCTGTGCAAGCAGACAAGTAACGGGGACGGGTACCTTGACGGGAGGTGCGTCGGACTACTGAGCATGTCGGATTACAAAACGTCGGACTATCAAGGGACAGCTGTAGTCCAATAAACATGGTGGAAAAAGACTAGTTTGTACCGTAAGAGGTGGTATCATAATCTGTGGAGACATTATGCTTAATGATCACACTGAACTCCACGTTTTTACCAGGGATACCATTACTGCAAGAAGGTGAGATTTCGAAACCCTTATGTTAAATTTTTCTAAAATGCTGTGTATAGTGGGAGATTAACCATTATACTGAGTAGGCTAAAACCTAGGGACCCGAGAGTAAAACAAAAAAAATTCATTGATATGTTATTTAACCTAACTTAAAATCATTTTAGTCAATTCAAAAAAGGGATACGTTAGGGGATTCTTACTATTGCGCTGTGTAGAGGCCAGGGTGATAATTAATCCGCCACTGGTTATGGTGCAGATTTCACTTTCTTGGACGATGATGAAAGAGCATATAAAGTTTCACTCGTCAATGACTTTCTTGACAGTGGAAATATTCGTTGCACGGAATTGCCAGAAGTATCGTTGGACCTAAATCCTATAGAATATAATTCCGTTAGCCTCTACCAAGAACACTAGGAGCGTCAAGATGTTCGTTGACTTTGCTCCCGACAGAGCCGATAAACGACGTTATAACAGCATGAGTAATCGTTATGTAGCGTGTGTGCGTGCGGGAGGCAACCACAAGTCATATTAATCACTTTCTGTGCAAAAAAAAATTACCACAATTGTTTTTTTCATTCGATTTGATTCAGATTATATTTATGAAAAACTGATATGACCACCATTTTGTTTTTATTGTGGTAATAGGTAGGAGATATTTCTATATCTTAATCTACATAAATCTAAAATTTCATCCTAATCTTCCCAGAATGTTTTTTTCATTTAACATAAAAAATTAAAACTTTATGATAAATAAATAAAAAAAACTTCTAAGAAATGTCCATCTTTAATAATAAATGTACAGTACAATTTCTAAATTTTAAGCTACTAGCCATTAAATTCAAAAAAAAATAAAATAAAACGTTATAGACAGACTGAAATTTTTAACATTAATTTATATATTTTAAATCAATGTTAAGAATTTTGTACTTTAAATTTAAAAATTTAAGATTTTTGCATTTAAAAATATTCAAAGAGCGTGTGTAAAAGTGAAATTAAATTACTCGAAAGAGCTGTTATATAAAACTTTTTAATGGGTTTACCTCTTTCAGTTTCGAACAAACAAATCTTACGTTTTCAATACAGAATGTAAATAGTTTGAAAATAAGCATTGAATTCAATGCTGTTCCAAAAGAATTCAATACGGTAAGTAAATGATGTTAAATATAAAAAGTTTGTGGATATTTACATATATATAAAGTCTACTTTCTTAATTTAATAATACTTAAATACGGTAAGTAAATGATGTTAAATATAAAAAGTTTGTGGATATTTACATATATATAAAGTCTACTACTTTAATTTAATAATACTTAAATCGACCAATCAAAAATTACTTTTCTACAGTATAGGCTATTCAATATATAGTATCTGAAGTGTCTTGACTATAATTATTTCTTTTGTAAAGTTCACAAAAAGTACTGGAATCTATTCTTATTTTATTATGGGAACCAGGAAGCTTATTCTAAAGTGCACCTATGAGTACTAATACCTCGCCCACCAAGCGAGAGGTTGGGAAAACTCAGACACATCCCCTATTGTTCAACAAAGTTCGTTGTTATCTGTCCACAAGGTCACCATTACGGCACCTTGGGCGTTAAATAATAGTTCAGACGAATTGGATAAGGCGTTTTTACCTAACAGAATACTGGACGCCTACAACCTGTACTGGCCATTGTCGATGAAACTCGTCTCTTTTTATGTTTCTTACGATTGTTACACGTGGAAAATGAAATTTTCATTCGAAATTAAGCAATTTATTCATTTCTGTCTCTAATTATACAAAAATTACGTCTGTTATAAAGAAACCAATGGTAGTATAAGAGAATATTCGTTATGTTTAATGTTTATGCCTTTTTTTTTTATTAAAATTCATATTGTAAGTCACAGTAAAATTCTGTCTATTTAATACGTTTCGCTTTATTTTGTGCATACATATTTATCTCGCATTATCTAATTCACATGATCTAATACTGGAAATAATTAAATTTTCGAAAATAACCATTAAAAAAACAACTAATTTCGAGAAAATAACTTATTTATTTGACCAAAATCAATCCATCAATGTCATTTTCGATTGAAGAATTAAGATAAAACATACCAAACCAATATAATCGTCTCCAAAATGCTTCAATAATTTTATAAAAAGTAATTACCCCCCAAAAAAAGCAATTTTATTGTATTAGAATCCTACTAAAATATAAAATTATATTAGATTAATTCTTTATGAATATTATAATAGATAATATTATATAAATACTGTAGGCCTATTACTAATTTTTATTCTTAATTAAATCATTAAGAAATATTAGTTAAATATCACAAATATTTATAGAAAATAGTATTTTTTAATAGTTAACACTATTAAAATCGAAGAAATTTTCCGGTTATCAAACAATTCCCGTTACAAAAGTTCATCTTATTCACTTCCCTGTGAATCAAAATAACTTTCAGACCTTAAAAAAACCCTTTCTAATGATTCTTTACTTTATATTTTGTGTGTTGACATCACTACTTTTTACTGATAAAAATTTATGATGTATTAAACAAATTATGGAATAAAAATATTAGATAATAATTATCTTCTTACCTTTCTAATCCTTAAATTGGTAAGTGTTTTAATGAATATTATCCTTACCTTGAGGCGTGTATTACTGAGCATAAAGTAATAATGACTTTTTATCAATATTGAACGTTATAGAAAAATATTTTCCGCATTCTTTAACATTTGTTATCTGTCATTAAAAATGAACTTTTAATTCGGCAAAACCTTTTTTTTTTTTCTTCTTTTCCCATATGAAACAGTTAAATGTATCAATTTTCACGAAGCTTTCCTATGACAATGACCTTTTCCTTATCTAATTAATGTTACGTGTTTAATTACATTAATTAAATAATAAATTTTAAAAATTCAATAGGATATATTAAAATATAAAACTTTAGAATCCAATAAACTTATTAATTTAATTACATAACTCATTAACAAACAAGTTCAATATATATATATATATGATATAATTAGAAGTTCATTATTAAGTCTATATTAAGAAAAGAAACAATATTAAATTCTATTTTTAGTAATAAACTTTAAGATAAACGTTGTAAACGTGTCAAAATTTGATTTTTCTCACGTTAGCTATCATATTAAAGCGAAACAGATAAGCTGTTTCAATCAAGTGTTCGTCTATAAGAAAAAAGTTTTTTTTACTTTAATGCAGAAACCTAAGTAAAATACAGGATTTTACTTATGACCGATAAGAAATTAAACTCATAAGCACGTTACCAGGCGTGTCCGGAAATATAGAGACCGCACCCATGATAGCTGTATTCTAAAATAGGCTGTAAATCATATTATTGTCTTTTTTTTTTTAACTCATCTAAATAAAATCTTTACGAAATTTTAATAAAAATATGTAAATTTTTAAATTTTAAATCAAAATTACAATTATATTTTTTTTTAAAATAACATTGTTTCAGTTAAAGAAACACATAAATGTATATATTAAGTGTATCACATTAACAATACTATAAGGCTATATCAAATTGTAAGAAAAAAAAATAAAATAAAATTCAGCTTTTAGGGGGTATATTATTTTCTGTTTTTCTATAGTCTAGTATATTTCTACTTAAGAGTTGAATCACGTCGTGCCAACACCCTTAAATATTCCATAAGATGTCAATTTTCATTATTTTCGGTGTTTCTCTTAGAACAGTTAGGATATGCACTATTGCATTCTATTTTTCTTCTTATATGTTACATCATTAAATTTATCTAACAATAGTACATTACGCTACATTTGCAGCCTTTGACATAACTCGAAAAAAAATTATTATTTTTTTTATTCGATTTGACCGAAACTTTTATAGAACTAACCATACACTGGTTTAGGAAATATATTTAAAGTGTAAAAGCACTTAAAATTGTAGAAAACTCACTCCAACGATACTATAAAATGTATAGAATAAAGGAAGAATTTAATTCTTGAATATAAGATATAATTATAAAGTAGTGTCCTATTGAATTTGTGATTATATTTATGATCGTGTGCATTTAAAAAATGAAAATTTTGAGTAAATAGTGTTAGAGGATTGGAATCTTTTTATTTAAGTTGCTAATAATTTCTTGGGTGGGTCAGCTCTCTATACTCCAGTATTTGTTTGCTTGTTTCAACAGGTTGTCCTGTCACAGCTAAAAACCACGTGATTCACTTCAGGCGATGATCGGGTTAATAACACCTTGTATTGGTCTTCCTGATTACACATCACATGGAAAGTTTCGGCCGAAAACCATACTTACGCGGCGAAATTCGATATCTTTCTTCAGAGGATAAAATTACATTTAAAACAGTTTAACCGCATAATTGAAGATAACTTGATATTATAATTATTCGTAGAATAATGATCCTCGAAATGTATTTTTCTTTTATATAATACTTTTCCTATTATTACTTCATTAATATATATTACTATATATAATATA